CCCTGGATCCTTGCTGGAGGTAGGTAGGGGTTGGAGTTCCTTGGACAGCCTGGGAATGCTCCAGGGTAACTCCCACACTGCCCTCTCTGCCGTTTTAGGGCTACACAGCATATCGAGTGGCACAGCCTCCCACAGCAGCTGCAGCAGCGGCTGCTTACAGCGATGGGTAGGTACTGCCATGGTGGGGGATGGGGGTGGTTTTGGCTTCCCAGGGTCCAGCCACCGGTGTGTGTGTGTGTGTGCACACGTGCATGTATGTATGTGTGTGTGTATAGCACCTGTCGTAGCAGAGCACCACCTCACTTCCTCTCTGCTTCCTCAGGTATGGCCGAGTCTACACCACGGCAGACCCCTATCACCATGCTGTTGCCCCGGCCTACGGCGTTGGAGCCATGGTGAGCAGCGGGGGTGACTCCCACTCCACCCTACCCCAGTGGGGCATGCTCCTGGACCCCTTCCTCAATCTCTGCCCCTTCTGCCCTGCCCTGCCTAGCCCAGCCACCCTCCACCCCTGCACCTCATGAAACCCAAGGGCTGGCTCCCTCTCTCCTGTATTATACCCCACCTGCTGCTGCTGACAGCTGCCTCTCCCCACAGGCTAGCCTGTACCGTGGAGGGTACAACCGCTTCACTCCGTACTGAAGGACCAAGCACCAGGGACGCTAGCAGCAGCGGCCAGGAGGGGCCTGGGCAGCTGACAGACACATGGACAGTGGGGGTTTGCTGTGCTGGCTTCTGACAACTCTGTGAAGGGGGAGCTCTGGGGACTGAGGGCAGAGGAGGGGGCACTGTGCACTGAGACTCCTGCTCCCAGCACAGGGCCAGGGTGGGCCTAGGGCTGCTTGTTAGCTAGAAGGGAGCCCTGCCTTACCCCCATAACCCAGAATCCCCTGCACCTCCTGTCTCTGTCTGTATCACCTGTTACCCAGAATCTCCTGGGGGAACTGTTCATGGGCCTAATGCCGGCACCTCATAGGACTCCTACATAGCCCCAACACCTCATCCCTATTACCCAGAATCCCTTGGGACTTCTACCTGACTCCCCCAGTATCTTACCCAGAATCCCTTGGGGCCCTTGCCCAGCCTTAGTGCCCTATTCTGTTACTCACAATGCCTTGAAGCTCCTGCAGTGATCCATGGAGACAATGGGGCAGGTGCATGCTGAAGGTGACAGCACAGACTACTCTGGAGTGAAACCAGGGGTGAATTTGTCCTGTGTTCAATACCCAAAGCCAGTGTGATGCCTTGGGGAAGGGCAGGGGCAGTGGGGTTGCTGGCTGAAGAGGCAAAACTGGAGCTCCCATAAGGGTTGTGGTTTGACTGCAGATATCTCTGCAGGCAGCTGGGGTCACTGACTGCCCCTCTCCAAGCCTGGACTGGTTTTCTCTTCTCCTTCTCCACAGCCATATCCTCTCCACCCTCATCACCCTTGCCTCCCATGCACTGTCTCCTGGGGGCCTGCTGAACCGGGCTGCCTCACTAGGAGACATGAGCATCGTCAGAGGCTGAGGGTTTTTCACTGTGAATGAGCCAGCCCCTTTCCCCAGCACACTCTCAGGGACAGTTCATTCTCATCTCTCACCATTTCCTGTGTGTCAATAAAGTTCTCCTCTAAGTCACCTCTGCTCTCTTGCTGTCCCATTTGCTCTCGCTGTGCCTTTCATGCTGTGACCCTGTCTCCTGCCTTTCTTGAGTCTCTCCACTCTCTTTCTGTCTCTCTCTCTGAACCCACTTCCAGAGCATTTTGCATCTGCAGTAGGGGTCTTAGCAGGAGTCTGGGTCTCAGCAGTGCTTGTTATTAGTCAGGCCTGAGGCCAATAATGCCCTGAGACCTCACGCACACCTTGGTCCCTGGATGTACGCCCCCCCTGATAGCCTGCCCCATCCAAAGCCTGGGAGAATCAGGCTCATTGTCTCTGGATGCAGACATGTGGCACACAGCAAACAGATTCTACTCTGGACTAAAGCAGAGTGGACACCCAATGCCTGGCCCTACTAAGTATAAAGTCCCTGGAATCCAGGGTAAAATAGCCCCTTGCAAAATGAGTAGTGAGTTTAAATGGTGGGAAACAGCAATGTAGTGTGTCTGCTGGGACAGCAGTGACTTCACACATCCTGGCTCTCCTGAGACCCTGTGGCCAAGGCTTGGACTAGTGACTGGCTTGGGAGGGCTGGGCCTGCGTCTGCATCTACCTTTGGGGTAGAATCCAGGGTAAGTGACCACCCCACACTAATCATGCCCTGTGCCCATGCCCTGCATTTCCTGGCTCAGTCCCAGCCTGGGGACTATGAGGCTTGTCTCATGCTGAGTCCCCCATGCCCTGTGCCTGGACTGGCTCTAGCTGCGACTGGGGAGAGTGGGAACATGGCTGCTGCAGGGAGTAGACCGTGGCAGCCCTGGAATTGATGCCAGGATGGGGGTGGGGGGGTTAGTTGTGGGCAGTGGGGCTGTTGCAGAGAGTAGCGAGGCAGTTAGCTGTGTCTGGGTAGAGTTGCACTTTATAGACTAACTGAGTGGGCGATGCCTAAGGCTTTGTGAGCAGCAGATACAATGATGGGCTGAAGCTGGAGCAGGGGAATTGGAGGGGAGGGAGCTATGCAAGGGAGCACCGGGTTCCCCAATGCTTTTATCAGGGATGCGTTTCCCAGGCTGCCTGGCCCAGGCCTGAGCTGCCTCATGGCTGCACATTCTTGCTTTTTGGACCACTTCCCCCACTGCCCCCCGCCCCTCCTTCACTTTCCTAGGCAACCCTTCTTCCCCACTCCAGCTCTCTAGGCTGGGCTGTTGTGCCCCTGGCTTGCCCTTCGCAACCCACTCCCTGCCCCTGGCACCAGCCCAGCCTTTCCAGACCCTTTTTCTCTCTGACTCTCCCATGCTCTCAAGCTTGCTGTCTCCAGCCCTGGGCCTCAGTGGCTGCTCTGCTCACTCCTGCATGCACTATTCTCCCTTTGCTTGGCTGCATGATCCCCTGGGTGCACCCTGCTGCTCTTTTTCTCTCTCCATCGCTTCTCTCAGTCCTCTCTAGCCTGTCTGCCCCCCCCCCCCATTCTCTCTCTCTTGCACACGTGACCCAGCTCTTGCATGCACTGCTGTTCTCTTTTGTCTTTATTGCTTGACTGTTCCCTTCTTTGCATGCCTGACTTGCCACCCTCTCTCTTTTGCATGATCTGCTGCTCGTTCTCTCCTCTCACCCTCCTCTGTGCTCACTCTTGCTCTTTTAATTCCTCTTTGCTTGCTGCACCATTTTTGCTCTACTTGTGCACACCTGATCCTCTCTTTGCATGTCTGATCTCTCTCTCTCTTTACTGCATGCACTGCTGTCCTCTCTCTGCTCACTTAGCTGCAGACTGCTATGGAAGGGGAAGCATGCAGCAATCTTTTCTCCTCCCACCATCCCTTCCAATCTCTGTCTTCCATGCTTCAACCCTGATTTCCTTTCACTCACCAGCACTGTAGTCAGAGATTGGATTGGGAGCAGAACCTAGTGGCTTGTTGAAATCAGGGCAATCTGCACTCAGGTGCTTTATTTGCTAGGATCTTACCCCGCCATCTCTCTCCCTCCCCTTCCAACCACACATGCCCCCTCCTTTGGCCCTGCTGGTGGTATGGAGTAGCCAATCCTCCCCACTCCTATTGGCCTTAGCTTCTGCCCTGGCTGAGACTAAACTAGGGCTTAAACATGGGTGTCAGGCAGCGATTCCTGCCCCCACTTCCCTGGCTGGAGGGGTTGGTTGGTTCCGGTCCCCAAAGGGAACCTTGATTCAAGGGAGCAACCTTTGGTTGCACTGAGACTTGACCTTGGCTAGCTGGATGGGAAGTCCGGTGTGCTGGAGTGAACCAGCCTACTGGGCTGGTGGAGGATGGGGTTATGCTGCAGATGGGGCAGGTGCCAGGACAAGGCCCCTCCCCCAATCTGGGTACACCCCCCCACCGCCACCCGAGTTTCCTCCTAGTACATTTTACAGGAGGAAGAACTCCTGGACATTGGCCCAGGAAGGCACTTCCTGGGGTCTTGTCTGCCCCACCCCCTCTGCCAAGACACAGACCACAGGGGATTTCCAGTGGTGGAGGAATTAGGTTTTTCTTTCCTCCTGTCTGCCCCACCAGCCAGGTGCTTTTAGGCCAGGGGGGCCTCACCACATGCATACCATACACACCCTCTCCAGCTGCCAGGTAGCCTGGCCTGTGCCCCTTGCACGTCATATTTGGGCTCAGCCTGGGGAGGGGTGTCTGCACCCATGTGTGCTGCTAGCTCTGGTGTGTTGTTGTGCTGCATTTGTCTTCCCCCTGCTCTCCCTCACCTCAATAAATGCATCTGTCTCACTTGAAGCTGTGCCTCTTTTACTGGCTGGAAAAGGCAGCATTGGCTTCTGCTTTAACCACCTATTTTGCAAGCAGCCTGACTCACAGATCTGTCCTCCCCACATGGCTGAGGTGCTTACTGGGAGCCCAGGCATCCTGGGCACCTCTCAGGGCTCAGCTGAGGCAACCAGGGGAGTCCTATTGCAGAGGACTGTGTTCATTCTGGCACCCCACTGCCCTGGCAAAGGGCACTAAAGAGCTCAGCAGCTTTGCTTAGGTCCCATATGTCACTTACACTAGCTCCCCATGGTTGGGGGCTGGAGGAGCTCCCTCACTGTCTGGGCTGGAGCTTAGGCATCAGAGATCAGCCAGGGAAGGCAGGAAGGGAAGTAGCTGCAAAGAATTTCTTTCCCTCACTACAGCCTGAGGGGCAGCAAATACACATTAGCATATGCAAAATAATGGGTGAATGTTAATAAGCCGGGGCGGAGCGAGAATCGGAGCGACAGCTGAGAGCACTGCCGCGGGAGAGGAGCTGTAATAGTTGGGGAGCACTGGGCAAACGCAGCATCTGCTCAATGCCTGGGCCACCCCCAAGATCAACATTGCCCCGTTGCAGGGAGGTGGGTCTACAGGCTAGCCAGCCCCCAGCGAACCCAACGCTTAGAGGGAGATATTTGCTAGAACCAGAGCTCTGTTACCGGAGCCAAAGAAAACAAGAGATCGTTTATTTTTGTTACCCTGACAAGATCCGTTATCTACTACACGCGCACCAGTAACTTGCTTTCTCCCCAAATACCAAGCTGAGCGGAGCTTAATCCTTCGGTTTGTAAAACACTCGGCTTACAAAATACTATTTAAAGCATTGACTGAGAACGAGCGTCTCTCTCGAACGAGCCCAGCTCTTTCCGTGCAGAAGTGAGTGGCCCTTAGAAGGGCCTTTGGGTCCAACAGCTGTTCTAGGTTTCTTTCGCGTGGCTTAACCACCGAATCCGTAGAGGGTGCGACCCTGGCGCTTCAGGGCGTACACCACGTCCATGGCGGTCACGGTCTTCCTCTTGGCGTGCTCCGTGTAGGTGACGGCGTCGCGGATGACGTTCTCCAGGAAAACCTTCAGCACCCCGCGGGTCTCCTCGTAGATGAGCCCCGAGATGCGCTTCACGCCCCCGCGGCGGGCCAGGCGGCGGATGGCCGGCTTGGTGATGCCCTGGATGTTATCGCGCAGCACTTTGCGGTGCCGCTTGGCGCCTCCTTTCCCCAGCCCCTTGCCGCCCTTTCCGCGTCCAGACATTTTCGCGCACTCTCTAACTAGATCAGCTACAAACGACCAACAAAATCTTGACACTTTTGTACGTAAATATATACGCGAGGTGCGGACTAGAGAGAAAACTGGGGGCTGCAAGGCGGAACTGACCACTGCACTCCTCCCCACTGGGTGACACAATTTATTTCTTTCCAATCAGACACCGACTATCTCATTCTAGCCAATCAAAACCAAGTCAGTAACTTTAAATTCAAATAATAAGGTTTTTGGCTCCCGTTCGGGAGACAGAAGCCGGTACTACAGCTCTGGGGTGTGTTTGGCGCGTCTCTCACCGGACAAAGCCGTTTCGCTCTTGACTCCGCAAACAGCCGGGCGGGCTTCTTCCCCTTGCACCAGCTCCCTACAGATCTGTGCTCTGATAATCGTAGAAGCACATTCAGACCAGACAGCAGCTAGTCAAATCATCTCACATGACGCTGCTGCTGCCCCCCACCCCCTTAGATCTTAGAACTAACCCACTTCTCTGTGACTAAAGCCACAGCGGGATAGTTGCGTCCGTTTTCTTTCGTTGCTTCCTGGGATAACATCCTTAGTGCAACAATAATAACGCCGTCAAAGGCCATTTTCACGGTTTTATTCTTGCCCTCACACGACCCTTGCATTGGAGGAAGGAAGGGAAGGAGAAAAGCTTCGCTTCCCTGAACCTGTTTTCAGCTTCGAGTTGTATGTATCAGCTTGCCTCCAAGATGACCCTTCTCGGAAACCTGAGGGTGGGGAAGGTTTGGCTCATCTAGCTGAACATCCGAGAGCTGCTAGCTGCCCACACCTACAGCTACACCCTCCCCCCATCGTTTTAGTAGATACCTTTTTCACATATTTTTTTAAGATCAGGACACCAACATCACCTCGGCACTACCACTGCTTTAATGGTTGCTTTTCACGATTCCGTGACAGAGATCACCTTTCTCCATTACTCCGGGAGGTAGGCTCTGATTACATCAGCACAGACAGGCCTCGCCGTAAGACGTTAAAAACTTCAAGTGCAAGCGCACACCTTCAGTGTAAATGAGTGATTTCCCAGGACACACTAAGTTTCATCCCTTCCTTAGAGAAAACTCACAATACGGCTGAATAGCATTAAAAAGGGATTAAGACACAGGAAAAGTACTCAGATCTTTAATTCACAGCAAAGGCAAGTCACTTGCCTTTTTAAAAACGGAATCGGTTTGTTACTGAACTTCACATAAACTGAAGTGTAAACGTAACTATTTACGTAACACGACTACAACTCTTCCATTGAAAATGTGGGTGGCTCTTAAAAGAGCCTTTGGGTTTAGAAGTTCTGGGGACGAAGCCAGAAGCAGGTTACTTGGAGCTGGTGTACTTGGTGACAGCCTTGGTACCCTCCGACACGGCGTGCTTGGCCAGCTCCCCGGGCAGCAGCAGCCGCACAGCCGTCTGGATCTCCCGCGACGTGATGGTCGAGCGCTTGTTATAGTGCGCCAGGCGGGACGCCTCGCCGGCGATGCGCTCGAAGATGTCGTTCACGAAGGAGTTCATGATGCCCATGGCCTTGGACGAGATGCCGGTGTCGGGGTGCACCTGCTTCAGCACCTTGTACACGTAGATGGAGTAGCTCTCCTTGCGGCTCTTGCGCCGCTTCTTGTCGCCTTTCTTCTGGGTCTTGGTGACGGCTTTCTTGGAGCCCTTCTTGGGGGCGGGCGCGGACTTAGCAGGCTCCGGCATCTTGCAACTCGCTCACGACACAGCACAAAGCAAGTGGGAATCTTTTGCAGCACGCCCCTCCTTTATAGGCCGCCATGCAAATGAGGTGAGCCAAACGGAGCCGTCGGATTGGCTGCTGGGGCAGCGCGGGGCCTCCGGCCGGGGCGGCACACATGCAAATCGTTGTGCTCCAAGTCCGGCACTCCTATTGGTAAGAACGGCAAGCTATCTCTCCATTGGTCGGGCTTAGCAGTCTCTTTCTCATTGGCCGCTGTGGGCAGCTGCGCGCTCGAGCCTATCAGAAGCCGCCGTCCTGATGCGCTCGGGTTGATAAAAGGGCGGGCGCGGCGCTGGAGCGACTTGTGCAGTTTTTCCAAGCAGTGGTTTCGTGTGCCAGCACAGCGGAGTCGAGATGTCTGGACGCGGGAAGCAAGGAGGCAAGGCTCGGGCCAAGGCCAAGTCGCGCTCGTCCCGCGCTGGACTGCAGTTCCCGGTGGGCCGCGTGCACCGCCTGCTGCGCAAGGGCAACTACGCGGAGCGAGTGGGAGCCGGCGCGCCCGTGTACATGGCGGCCGTGCTGGAGTACCTGACTGCCGAGATCCTGGAGTTGGCGGGCAACGCGGCCCGCGACAACAAGAAAACGCGCATCATCCCGCGGCACTTGCAGCTGGCCATCCGCAACGACGAGGAGCTGAACAAGCTGCTGGGCAAGGTGACGATCGCGCAGGGCGGCGTGCTGCCCAACATCCAGGCCGTGCTGCTGCCCAAGAAGACCGAGAGCCACAAGCCCAAGGGCAAGTAACCGTGCTGCTGCTGCCCGAGTCCTGCTTTGACCTGAACCCAAAGGCTCTTTTAAGAGCCACCTACAACTTCATAGAAAGAGCTGTTATTTCTGAGTTTGGTATTCTTTTACTTCAAATCTTAATTTTTTTCCTTTTACAGAAACAAGACCCTGAACTGGGTTTTGGTTTAGTTCTAAAAGATAGGGTGATTCAAAGCCCCGGGAAACCAGACCAGGATGAAAAGAGCCGTCTGGCCTAACAACCAACCCAGTCAGAGCCCTTCAACAAAGCGCATGCGCACAGCGGGAACACAAAAGCGGGGTGTGGCTGTGCGCGCCCCTTTCGTAGGGCAGTGTTTTTTCTTTGCTGTTGTGCTTTGTACAGACGGGACGGCGAGTTTCTCTGAAAGTCAGGTCAGAGTCAACCCTCCTGGGCTTGAATAAGCCCAAAAGCTAATGCACTAGGACGGAGCCTCCCCTCCCCCCAGCTCAAAGCCCTTTGCAATCTGCGGCCGGTGCTGTTTCCGGAGGAGGGAGAGGCCTCGCACTCCCGAGGGGCGGGCTCCTTACTGCCTAGCCCTCCCCAGCGCTGGACTTTCAAGCCGAACAGGTTTTCCGGGCGGGAGAGGCGCTTTCTTGTAAACCAGCTTGAAACTCAGGCTGGACCGTTAGTGCTGGGAGCGGGTTCGGGCGGGGAGGGAACACCTCCAGGGGCCAAGCTGAATTGAAACCAAAAGCCCCCACGCTGAGTTTGAAACAAAGCCTGCCCCTGAGCAGAGGAAGGAGAGCTCTGTGCTGTGTCCCGGCTGCAGACAATAGAGTTTTTAATTCAGGCAATTCAGCTCTACGGGAAACAAATGAATTCCCTGCTAGTTGTTGCCAACGGGCAGAAGCTCCTGTCTTTCCTTTGGAGCCCAACAGAGGCCGCAGTGTCGTCATACTATGGTGTGTCCTTATCATGGGTTGGGCATTGCCCCCAAGACCCCTTCTTTTAGGGCAGGATCCAGTCACTCACTCCGACCTCCAAGGCTCTGCAGTGGGGAGGGAAGGGGAGTGGGTGGATGTGGCCAATGTCTATACCAAGGAAAGGCCTTTGAAGAGAGTAACTTGAGCAGCTGCACTTTCCTGAGCTGCAGAGCTGGGCAAGCAACGAGATAGGGGCTATGAGCTTTGATGAGTGAGGTTTAGGGGGAGTCCAGGTGAGCTCCTCTTCCCAGAACAAATATCAGCTGGTCTTGGCTTGCCTTGCAGCCCAGCTGGTACTTAAGGGCACAGCTTGTCCAGTTTGCTGAGGGAAGACTAAGGACCGTGATTCCTAGGTAGGGAAATTGGCATTGGAGTCTGGAGCTTTACCCAGCTGGGCTCAACAAAGACAAAGGTGACACTTACTGCAGCATACGCTTACGCTGCTAAACTACAGGTCTAACTGGTTAGGTGTGCACCCCCAGCCAGCATTTCCCAAACCTAGCAGCTACTCTCAGGCCCCACTGCCGGTCCCCTTCGCCAGCTGTGATGCAGTTCACTTGGCTGCGTTCGCTCTTCTCCGAGCAGTTCTGTAACCCACTCTGCATCACCCGAGCATCTGCCACCTCCCTGGAACCTCGATGATCAGTGCTGGGGGGCTGCCCCCATGCCCACCTACTGCAGCTGCCTCCCTTACCCTCACTGCAGATTCCCCGAGCTGCGTGAACCAACAGGGGGGACCCATAGAGGGGTGTGAAAGCACCCACCTGCTTTGAGAAACGCTGGCCTACGGCAAAAACCTGCAGGTGATGGACTCGTGTCCCATTTCTTGGGTTACACTCAGGTTAAGTCAATTTCAGTAGTGTCCTCCCTCCTGCAGTTGCTTTCTTCTCGGACCATAGACAGCATCTTCCAGGCAGAGCAGCACCAGCACCATAACGAGAACCACAGCCCCACTTGAGAACCTGTGTTCTGCAATGAGTGATTGGCAGTTATAGGCAAATACACGGATAGGCAAGCACATATATAGGACTTTAAAACATTTTGATGTAAACTATTCAAGGCTTCTTTGTAGGTGACAGCGTCACTGATGAGGTTCTCCAGGAAAACCTTCAGCACCCTGTAGGTCTCCTTGTAGATGAGCCCTGAGATGCGGGCCAGGCGGTGGATGGCTGGCTTGGCGATGCCCTGGATGTTGCACAGCACTTTGCAGTGCCGCTTGGCACTTCCTTTCCCCAGCCCCTTTCCACGATCAGACATGTCGGCAACTGTGGTAGAAGTACACAACATAGAAGTAACGGTCACGAAAGAAGAAACCACTTTATAGAGGCTGTGCGAGTGTTGGACCAGAGAGAAAACTGACAATGAGCAACAGTGACCACTGGCCCTCTCACAACTACTTGCCTCACGGCTCACCAATCAGATACCGAGTATCGGGACCAATCCAAAATCTTATGTTATCTTTTAAGCCTCAAAAGCTGTGGTGCCCTCTGACAACAGGACTTTAATTATTAATGCCAAAAGGAATTAATTAAGGGCTTTCAGTCCTGTGTGATACTCTTGGTATCTGAATTGCCTACAGGGAATCAATTCAAGCTCTGGCTTTTCGAATGTCTGTCCCTAGCCATGAGGTTCAACAAGGACAAGTGAAAAGCTCTGCACTTAGTATGGAACAATCCCACACACCAGTACAGGCTGGGGGTTGACTGGCTGGGTAGCAGCTCTGCAGAAAAGAACCTGGGGGCTACGATGGACAATAAGCTGAATATGAGCCAGCAGTGTGCCCTTGTTGCCATGAAGGCTAACATGAACCAACAATGTGCCCTTGTTGGGAAGGAGGCTAACAGCATACTGAGCTGCATTAATAAGAGCAGTACCAGCAGATTGAGGAAAATTCTTCCCCTCTAGTTGACAGTGGTGAGGCTACATCTGGAGTACTGTGTCCAGTTTTGGGTCCCCCACTACAGAAAGGATCTTGACATATTGGAGAGAGCCCAGCAGAGGGCAACAAAAATGGTTTGGGGGCTGGGGGACGAATTATGAGGAGAGGCTGAGGGAACTGGGTTTATTTAGTCTGCAGAAGAGAAGACTGAGGGGGGATTTAATAGCAACCTTCAACTGCCTGAAGGGGTGGTTCAAAAGAGGGTGGAGCTGGTCTATTTTCAGTGGTGGCAGATGACAGAACAAGGAGCAACAAAAGTCAAGTTGCAGCAAGGGAAGTTTAAGTTAGATATTAGGAAAAGTTCTCTCACTAGGAGGATATTAAGACCCAGCTAGATTAAAGCCTTGGCTGGGATGAGGTCCCTTCCAACCCTAATTTTATGATCAGTAACTTGTTTCTTGTCCTGAATTAAAGCATGTTTGGAAACTTAGGCCCACAGAGCTCACCTTGCCACAAGGCCGACTCCTCCTTCAACACACAAAAGAACGTCAGCCCCAGTACCCGTTTCCCAAACAGGCATGTTTACATTTTCTCTTGATTACCTTTTATGAGCAGAAACTGCACCCAGTGAGAATCAGCACAGGCCCCAGTTTACCTGCTTTAAGACGCATCTCAAAACTCCCCTCTTCCAAAATGCATTCAAGTAAATTATAGGCTGCAATGAACTAGAAGGTAGAGAGCTGTGGTCATTCCAATCTAACCAAATACGGATTTTCCATATCTCAGTGTATTTTGGGTTTACTCTGTATTTTTCCCTCTCCCATTCCCTCATTTAATTATGCAAGTTGTTGCATCTCATCTTTTAATATAAACCTCATCTGTCAGGACCCATCATTTATTACAAGTTGGTACAGCACCCGCATAGAACAAACCCAATGTCGGGAACAGACTTTGGACACTCCTATAAAAACAATAATAGAAAGGAATGAAGTAGATTCAGCCCCCCTGTACTTGAAGAGCTCCTTCAGTATCTGAAATACTATCTGTATTAACTAGTGTAGAAAAATCTTTTTTATCTCCAGAAAAAAAATCCACTTTGACACAATAAAACATACAACCTTCTGAAAAAGCATGTTTTAGATTAGAAGTTGATGACTTTTATGATGACCAAAAGATACTAGTTTGTACATGCACTCAAATACCAGTGAACTTAAAATTATACTATCAACTAAGAATATAATTTACACTAGACATTTCTTTGTTTTTATGCCTACAAGTTCATTTTTTATCTTAAAACCAAATCCAGCTCTTGTTGTGCAAGAGGTGGGCCCTGAAAAAAGACTTTGTAACTTTAGTAGCCACTAAACCCATGCAAGTTATGGCCCTAACATTTCATGATATACAGTATGTCCATGGCAGTCACAGTCTTTCTTGGTGTGCTTGGTGTAGGTCACAACATCCCGAAGGATGTTCTCCAGGAAAACTTTCAGGAAACCAAGTCATAGATCAGGTGGCTGATGGCAGGCTTAGTTATGCACTAGATCAATGATTCTCAGCCAGAGATCTACAGCACCCTGAGATCCTGCCTAGGGCGCCATACAATGTTACTACTGTTAGGCATAATTCACAAGATAATCTGAGATTTCAAAAAGAAATTCATGGTGTTAAAAACATTCTAACTTCTTATGGCCTTGCTGAGGTCACTGCAACAGAAAAAACGCTCTATTGTTTTTCTGTAATAAAAAAAATAAGCACAAACTGTGCTAGTTATTGTCTAAGAGAACTTTGCAGTGCTGCTTAACCCCTCACCAGCTAACTATTCCTTGGCCTGACATTATAGCTAATCAGATCTATAACCTACAAGTACAAGCTATAAACTAAACCTATACACTATAACTGCAAACCCACCCTGCTCATCTGTGGTGAGAGTTTATGGCTGGATGGACCAGAAAGCAAACTGACGCTATGTGACTGGGAAACATCCTCCTTTCTCCCCTGAGTGACGGTTTTCCAAGTTGACAAATGGACGTGCTGAACATCTCACTCTGGCTAATCAGAAACAGCCCTTTCGTTTCAAATTGAAACATGAAGTTTTGGCGCCTACCCTCCCGAGAGCATGCGCACAAGCAGCAGTGGTAGCCAGCAGTTGAGACCCTGCGTCCATAGGCGCTGAAGAGAGATTTTATTAAATGCTTCATGGGGAGAATAACACTAAAGGTCCCGGGTCGGAGATGATGTGTTCTTAAGGGGACAACAGTTAGTGCTGTATAAATTAGCATGTCATGAACGACCCATTTCTCTTTGACCCCCGCATTGTTCCTGCATAAAACATTTGGACGCTGACTGTAACTGGGGAGGAAACTACAGACAGAACTTTGTGAATATTGAGACAATAGCAGTACAATCCAATGCTGGAGAAAAAGAGAGGGGGTGAGGGACTTTTAGTTCCCCCAATCACAAACAAAAAACCACTTTCGAATTCAGCCCTCAGACCTAGAGCATTTTTTTGTTTCGAGAAAAAATAGACCTTTTTCCTGAGCTATACCGGACATAGAATAGGGCTAAGGTATTGTAAGAGGAAAAAAACCCCAAAATAACTCTTATAGTATAAAAAGGAGAGTCGTTTTTAAATAAACGTGGACTCGAATAAGGCTAGCAAAATGAAGCATTCCCGGGGTCTACAGGTGAGCATATGTAATGGTATTTACTCACCCCACCCCCAAGTTCATATACAAATCAATAATACTATGCTGAATTGCTTTATAACTAGGTTAACAAAGCAGGTAACAGCTCTCTCGTAGAGTAAGTGGGTGGCTCTTAAAAGAGCCTTTGGGTTTAGAAGTTCTGGGGACGAAGCCAGAAGCAGGTTACTTGGAGCTGGTGTACTTGGTGACAGCCTTGGTACCCTCCGACACGGCGTGCTTGGCCAGCTCCCCGGGCAGCAGCAGCCGCACAGCCGTCTGGATCTCCCGCGACGTGATGGTCGAGCGCTTGTTATAGTGCGCCAGGCGGGACGCCTCGCCGGCGATGCGCTCGAAGATGTCGTTCACGAAGGAGTTCATGATGCCCATGGCCTTGGACGAGATGCCGGTGTCGGGGTGCACCTGCTTCAGCACCTTGTACACGTAGATGGAGTAGCTCTCCTTGCGGCTCTTGCGCCGCTTCTTGTCGCCTTTCTTCTGGGTCTTGGTGACGGCTTTCTTGGAGCCCTTCTTGGGGGCGGGCGCGGACTTAGCAGGCTCCGGCATCTTGCAACTCGCTCACGACACAGCACAAAGCAAGTGGGAATCTTCTTCAGCACGCCCCTCCTTTATAGGCCGCCATGCAAATGAGGTGAGCCAAACGGAGCCGTCGGATTGGCTGCTGGGGCAGCGCGGGGCCTCCGGCCGGGGCGGCACACATGCAAATCGTTGTGCTCCAAGTCCGGCACTCCTATTGGTAAGAACGGCAAGCTATCTCTCCATTGGTCGGGCTTAGCAGTCTCTTTCTCATTGGCCGCTGTGGGCAGCTGCGCGCTCGAGCCTATCAGAAGCCGCCGTCCTGATGCGCTCGGGTTGATAAAAGGGCGGGCGCCTGCTCGGCACGGGCAACTACGCGGAGCGGGTGGGAGCCGGCGCGCCCGTGTACATGGCGGCCGTGCTGGAGTACCTGACTGCCGAGATCCTGGAGTTGGCGGGCAACGCGGCCCGCGACAACAAGAAAACGCGCATCATCCCGCGGCACTTGCAGCTGGCCATCCGCAACGACGAGGAGCTGAACAAGCTGCTGGGCAAGGTGACGATCGCGCAGGGCGGCGTGCTGCCCAACATCCAGGCCGTGCTGCTGCCCAAGAAGACCGAGAGCCACAAGCCCAAGGGCAAGTAACCGTGCTGCTGCTGCCCGAGTCCTGCTTTGACCTGAACCCAAAGGCTCTTTTAAGAGCCACCTATAACTTCATAGGAAGAGCTGGTTTCTCTACTCGGGAGCGGTTAGTCGGTTGTGTGTTTTTTCTAGTCATTGAAGGCTCCTTACCGTGTCAAGGCTGACAGGGATGCTGATAAACCGCACTCCCCCATAAAGTACTAGTGGGCCGAGCTGAGGGAAGTCTAGCTCTGGCATCACTGAAAGTGGAGCTGGTGAGGTGCAGTACTGTGTTCGAGGGCATTTTGAATAGCGTTGGTACCCCGAATTAAATAAGTCAGTGAGCCACGACGGCCTAGGGCAATTGAACGTGGTAAGAATATGATCTTGCGAGGTTGTGGCCTGTATTACATGGAGCGACCCGCCCTGCTGCAACTGCACAGACAGATCCCTCTGCTACCATACGGTTCCAGTTGCCCTCGGAGAAGGGATACATCTTTTCAACTCGACATTTCCGGAGTTGATTTCGAAGGAAAGCGGTCGGTTCTGCTTCCCCTCCCCAGTGCTCCGCCCTGTTCCCAGCACCCCAGGAACCGCCGGCCCTCGCTATCAGTATTCAAGGGCGCTTTGCTTTTTGTCACTGGACGCTCCCCGCCCCCGCCAGGTTCCGCTGTGTTCGGCTCCTGCAGCCTGCGCCACGCCGGTGGGGGCCACCTAGGGCGCAGCACGGACCCGGGTCAGGTCTGCGTAGCGCGACGGATGCACACTCCGCGCACGGGGGCCTTGGGGAAATGGCGCCTGGCCCTAACCTCACCCCAGGCCCTAGTGGACCGAGTGCGGGAAGCCCCTTGCCTCGCCCTCGCTAGTGGCGGGGTGGTTGGAGCTGTCCAATGCCCGCCAAGCCCGGGAAATTCAAACAGGCAGTGGGGGAGTGGGTGAGCGGCCGGGCCTGGGCCCCCGAGTCCGCCTTCTCGAAAGATGGGTGGATCCTCGAGCACCGCTCCCGACAGAGGCCCCTTACACTTGCCTGCCCCAGGCGGCCCCACCTGCCCTTAGGAACTGGGTGCGCCTCTGAGGGTGCCCCCATCTGCCCCCAGCCCGCTTGTGCATCCCTCGGAGCGCACAGCCGGAATCCCGCCCCATTCCTCTCAGAGACCGGGCATGCGCAACATGAACAGGGTTTCGAACATGCTTTGAATAAAGGTGCATTCTCTAGGGGAGAGGGGTATTATAGTCTGTCCAATCACTGCTCAGCCCGGGAAATTCAAAGCCCCAACGGTTTCTCTGCAGCTCTCAGCCAATCAGAGGCTCTGCTTCGCCTATATATTGCCGGACAGACGCCTGGCGTTTCACAGCTTCTTGTGCTTCGCAGACGCGCACGGATTCCAAAAGATGGCCCGTACTAAGCAGACCGCTCGCAAGTCCACCGGTGGCAAAGCGCCCCGCAAGCAGCTGGCTACTAAGGCTGCCCGCAAGAGTGCCCCGGCCACCGGCGGTGTGAAGAAGCCGCATCGCTACCGGCCCGGCACCGTGGCGCTGCGCGAGATCCGGCGCTACCAGAAGTCGACAGAGCTGCTGATCCGCAAGCTGCCCTTCCAGCGCCTGGTGCGCGAGATCGCGCAGGACTTCAAGACTGACCTGCGCTTCCAGAGCTCTGCCGTCATGGCGCTGCAGGAGGCCAGTGAGGCCTACCTGGTGGGGCTTTTCGAGGACACCAACCTGTGCGCCATCCACGCCAAGCGCGTCACCATCATGCCCAAGGATATCCAGCTGGCGCGCCGCATCCGCGGGGAGAGGGCGTAAGCGTTTTTCAGTTCCCAGCACATCCCCAAAGGCTCTTTTAAGAGCCACCACATGTTCAGAGAAAGAGCTAAAACTTTACAGCCTGCAAGGCGGGCTGTATTCACTCTAATTACCAAATCTTTGTTATAAATTCACCCACTGCCTTGTGTAGGTGACATTCAGTGATGATCCCTTACAGGCACAAGTAGCTGAAGGCCGCCGGAGCTTGCAGCTATGCTTCGTGTCTCCTTTCGGTCCCGTAACACCGCTAGGTTTCATGAGTAGATTTCATGACATGGAGGAGGGTCTCATTACCCCTTCCCCCTATAGTAGCTGTCTCATTTCCAGGTTGCTTACGGTCCCCCGAATACTATGCTCGAACAAGTACATCAAGCATCCTGCTAATAGATTTTTATGGGGGATAATCCGTGGATGAGTCAGTTCTGTAGCTGCGGCTGGTCAGGTCTACGCCCCAGTTTGTTTCGCCCTAACGGGTCAATGCTCAAGCGAGCAGGAGCAGCCCAGAGGTGAGTGGGGGCTTGCCTTCTGGACCATGAGAATGTAGATATTAAAGCTGGTACCAGGTATGTTTTTTTCCATTCCTGAACTTTTTCTGTTGTTCAAATAAATCCGGGGCAAGATTCGTGCACTCACCAACCAGGATACTGTCGATCTAGTCGGCTTTAAATGTATCAAAACCATTTTATGCATGAGTCAGATTGCAAGAGGAGCACTCTTACTGTTTCCTAGAAGATGGTACGAGGCTTTTTTTCATAGCAGTTCCCTGGTGGTCTAGTGGTTAGGATTCGGCGCTCTCACCGCCGCGGCCCGGGTTCGATTCCCGGTCAGGGAAGTACATTTTTCCATTCCCCCCGCTCAGAAATCTTTCATGCCACTGCATGAAGCCATCTTTCACTGCATCCGGAACGAAGGGAGATCAATGTTATTTTTCTGCCAAAAGAAACATACATGAAAATCCTGCCATGTCCAGAAAAAAAAAACCCTTTTGGGCTAAGCCTCCCAATGTCAGCAGAGGGGCAGAGGGGTCCGTCCTCAGGTCAATGGCTCAGCCAGTCCCTGGATGGATGCATTCGTTATGACTTCGTCTGCTCTCATTGTACCCAAACAAACCAGCTTGGGAATTTGGGCACCCGTTTTCCGGGCCAAAATCTTGTGCCTCGGGGAAGGGAAGGCGAAGCACTGCTCGTCTCAGCAGAAACTCAGGGCAGTTTCAGACTGAAAACTAGGAGGCCCTATCACAATTTCTCAGTGCATCTTTACCGCGTGTCGGGGTAGAGGCTGAGGCACGGGGTAGCTTACAGAGTAGGGGGCCATGATGAAAAAAAGAAAAAAAGGACACTAGAAGCCCACCCGGCAGGGTTACGTTTTCTACGGTAAAAAACGACCCCGAGGCACCGCTGGGATTCGAACCCAGGATCTCCTGTTTACTAGACAGGCGCTTTAACCAACTAAGCCACGGCGCCTCTTACTCTAGCTCATTGCGATTGTTTCCTTTAAGTAGTTTTTCTTCAGTGCTATGCCGACTGCAGGGTTAAGGAGCGGGAGAGAGCAGAGTCCGCGGAGGCGCGGTGTGGTGCGATCCGCACGGACAGTTCCCGCTGGGCTCTCGGTTACGCCTCTGGGACTCGATCCCCTTCCTACCCCGCAACCCCACCCCAGAGACGAGAGCCCCCTTAGGCAGCTCAATGCAGAGACGCGGGCTTAGACATCCTACGGGATCGGTACAGGAAGTCGCTGGCTGAAACCGCGTCTGGGGCCTTCACGGCCTACGAAAAGGATCCTAGATGCTAAAGGCAATGGATGCGGGAGCAGAAAGGACGGAGTCTTCACAGCTGGGTCTGGGGGCTCCAGTTGATCTCATCAGCTGGCTCAGCTCTGCTCCCCTTCCCTCCAGATGAGGCTCAGCCCTGACCCCTTATACTTCATTTTTGCCTCCTGTAGGACTTCCACTCACTACTTGCCCCCTTCACATCCTGGATCAAAGTAACCATCCCAATATCATCATGCTCATCATTACTACTACTACTGTCATAATCAACCTCCTGCTCATTAATTGTAATAATAACAATACTAAAATTCATATTTTATTATAACTGCAAAGCAACTTACCGTAAATGACAAATAACCCACAGATAAGACACAACAGTAGATTCCCCAAACAAGTTGGAAACCCCATGCCATCCCACATACTTTAGCTTCAAGACTCTTAAAAGGAGCCCTCTGGCCAATGCCAACCCCCATTCACATTTCCTATTTGTCTCTCACTCATTGATACATTTATTTGTCTTTTTGTCTCAGTTGGGCTGCCCCAGATGGGAGGAGGGAAATGGCTGCCATCCCTCTCCCCTTTACACACCCCTTTTCCCCTGACCTTTGTTTTTCATTCCTTCACACTTCTCACCAGATTCACCTTCTTACTATAGCTATGTGATTTCCTAGTCCCCCAACCTATACTAAAGCCTCCCTCTGCCCCTCCAAAGCCTCATTCTCACTTCACACAGCCCTTCTCTAGTTCTCTTCCTAAATCCCTGCTCCTTCTTTAAAAAATAAAAAAAACCCAGCCCACTTATCTCCTGCTTTCAATGGGCCCCCCACCAGCTCCTTCCTCCTGCCATTTTCATGGTGTCTGAGTAGAAAAGGTGACCAAACGCTCAGCCCACATGCCAGACCAATGCAGAACACGAGAGCAGGTCATGTTCAACGTGTGAAGAGCTCATGATCATGAGGCTGACCAGCTTGTGATCAGACAGCCTTAACAAATCAGGAGCTGCAGGAGAAGCGTGACTGCCTGGCCAGCAGACACACTCTCTTAACTGTAAATCAGCAGCCTCCTCTGATTGGCTGAAGAGTTTATAAAAGGGACAGCGCGCTAAAGCGCAGGGTCCCAGGTTCCACACAAGCCCTTGGATAGGACTGATCATCCTGTCCAGGAATCCGTGTCCCCATGGACGAATAGTCATACGAATAGTCACGCTCTGGCTATTATTTCACCGAATAGTGAGCTCTCCATCCGCACGTACATCGGAAAAAGCAATTGCTATCTCCTACCTGTCATCTTTAACTACTGCTTCACCACTGTCGTTTTGTTGTGTAACCACTGTTGGAATCTTACTGTAAGTAAACGTTAAGTTCAATTTTACTATCTTCCAACTGAGTCAGTGTCCCTTTCATCCCCGGCCTGTCCGCAAGGCGGGTTGGTCATCCACCCGCCCCCCGGTTCAACCGGTAAACCGCCTGGTGAGTGTTGCGGTTACTAACACATGGAAACCTGTCCTTGTCTTCACTGTTATGAAAAGTTGTCCCCAGACACAAACACCTCATAGTGGAAGGCAAAGAAAAAGGTGCAGAAGAGAAGACTTCTCAAGGAAGGTCTTATTCCCTTGGACTGTTTGGGTAGAATATGCCCCTTCCCCTCACCAGAATTTGAAGCGAGTGATCACATCAGGGCACCTTCATAGCCATACAGGAATCCTACTCACCATGTCCTGTTTCTTTATAGTCACACCTTTTACTGATGACACCCCAGTGCACAAGAATAAGTACTTGTCTCAATGTCTGTCTAGCTACCTGGAGTACTAAAGTATTCTTACCTATATTGGCTGTGGGAGATGCAGGAGGGAGAAGGAAAGGGACATGCAGATTGTCAGCAGGTTGTTTTGAATTTGCTGAGATCTTCCCAAATCCCCCTTGTTTACATCCAGTATTTTTATATGGCTTATTTTAATAATTATTCTCTGATTGGTGTTATTGAATGCTTTTTTCACTGCAACTTCGGGAGCTGGACAGAACTGATCATTCTATAGACTTGGAAGATGCAAATTAGCTGGGATGTATGTGCTGGTGAAAATTACAATTGACAGCTTCCTATGTCTCTTCCTTATCTGTGAATCCTACTTGTCATATTCCATTTCTTTTACTTTGTTGACCAGGTGTAGGCTGTGGACATGATCAGCCAGCAAATGACAGACTACACAGACTAGTGCAGACTACAGACTTAGCAAAAGCCTGAGGTATGGATGATATATGCTTAAACTAGTATATAATCAACAATTAATAAGCTTGCATTTAAATCACAAGCAATAATGGCCTGGGAAAGTAGCATAACAATCTTATTATGTCTTTAATATTAGACTAGGCCAAGAATGCAAAACTGCTTTTTTGGAAAGCTGTATAACAGCAACTAGAAGTAGTAATTGCGGTTTTGTTTTATGAACTTGCACATTATTATTAGTCTACTCAGCAAAGGAAAGGAAAGAAAACATGGCAAGGAGCATTCCAAGATGGTCAGGGAACAAGATAAGAAATCCTTCCTCCCAGAATAGGACTTCTCAGGAACACAGACCCACAGCTAATTTGCATCTTCCAAGTCCAGAGGAAAAGTGGTTCACTCTAGTTCCCAAAGTTTCAGTGAAACAAAGACATTTAGATAACACCAATCAGAGTATTTATTTAAATAACCCACATAGAAATAGTGGGTGTAAACAAGAGGAAACTTCTGGAAGACCTTTGCAAATTCAAGACAACCTGCAGCCAGCCTGCATGCCAGCTTTTTCCCCTCTCCTTTGTCTCCTCCAGCCAGGATAGGAGAGAACCTATATTGTGCTATTGCAGGTAGCTGGATATGCATAAAGACAGGTGCTTATCCTTATGCTTTGGGGTGTAATCAATAAAACGTTAGGTTATAGATTTGTCTTTTGCCTCTTTTTTGACTTGGGTGGGGATAGTACCTTGCCTTCTAAGAAGGAAGGATCATTGGAAAATGTGATTATATGATTGGGAAGGATCATTGGGAAATGTGATTATATCTTGAAAAGAAATCCCGATCATAGATGCTCTGTAGTCTTGTCTCTCAAGAGACTGAACAGCACCTGGTTTTTAGTAACACAGGCTAGTTGCAATGCCTGCAAAAGTTTATTCTGACAGTAAACTCAGACTAAGCC